GACAGTTCGACATCGAGATTGTCGCAAGACACATCGAGAATGCAACGAACAACCGAAAGTACATCATGGTGATCACGGCAGGTCCTCCGTGCCCGGATTTCTCCGGCCTACGAAGCCAACCCAAAGGATCCGACGGCACCTCAGGATGGCTGTTCAGACACATGGTCAGCATCGAACATCAAATTCGACAACGATTCACGGGCGTCCCGATCGAAACGATCTTCGAGAATGTGGTACCCCACCCCGATGTACGAGACAACGTCGTGGAACTCACATCTCCGATGAGCATGGACCCGATCATCATCGACGCCGCAGACTCCGGAGTTATGCACCGCAAGAGACTGTGGTGGACATCGATCCCATGGGACACCGTCGAAGAGAGACTACCTCGGCTCACACCCTGGTCCCTTGAATGGCAAACAGATGGAGAATGGCATCGACTACACAACCCGATTGGCATCGACTTACAACCCCAGATTTCCGCAAAAGGTTTTTCCTTACCACCGTGTCTACACAACGACAAGAAACTGTTTCACTGCCTGACCACGCCATCCACGTCGACGTTCGGACGAGAACCTCCGAGACAACTCCGAGACCGCACGACTTCACAAGATGCATGGAATCGATGGGAACAAGACCAGCGACGTTACCCGGTTTGGCAGTATGAAGAACAATTCATCGTCACTTTGCAGGACGGATCATGGACGACGGCTCCTTCATCTTTGCGCGAACAACTACAAGGCTTACCACTGGACTATACGGCGACACTCGGAAATGGCGATGAGACAAAACGTTGCACTGCTCTGGGCAACGCGTGGCACCTGCCTACAGCGATTTGGATCATCTTCCTGCTTCTACTAGGGACTGTCGATGCATCCATCCCGGAGACACCTCGAGTGTCCCCATTACAACAGATCACATCCTTTTGGTTGCAGTCTAAGGTACCCTTTGGTCCACCACCCCGAACACCGAATCACGACTACATGCCACAGTTCTCCTGGACGGATCACCTCGAATGGGCACTACACAGAGACACACACTTATCACCCAAGAGACTCGATCCCACACTTGAGTGGTGTCTACAACACCGACATCTTTTCCACCCACTCCTGGACTTCCAGAAGGCCGTCATCGCAGACATTCGTGAACTCGTCGAAGACATGGAAGAACACACGATGGCCTGGTTCAACACTCTTCCAGAACATGTACAACGAGCATATCGTCACAAGAACTCGGTAACACAAATACCTGTCCTCGTCCACCTTCTTCGAATGATACAATACCCACAGACCGAGCTGATCTACCGCGAGCTCTCCGAAGGCTTCCCCCTTATGGGGAAGTTGACTCCAGGCATCAACTGGCACGTGCGACAAGACAAGAAATACCTCGAGCCCACTCCCATTGAAGAGTTTCGCGAGAACAACCGACAGTACATCAAAGAGAAGATCGACAAAAACTCCGTTGACGATCACTGGGAACTCATGCTCGACGAAATCTTAGCGGAGGTCGACCTCGGACGAATGAATGGACCGTTCGAGGCACCGGATTGGTGGCCCCGGACGGCGATCGTCCCGACCAAGGGACGACACCAAAAATTATTACCATTGCCTCACTCCGACCCGTACATTGCCATGGCTTTCAGCATCGAACAGACGGGCAGCGACGGCAACAACAAAGCTCGACGAGGAGAAGATTGGCGACGAAGCGGACACAACGCGACGTGCACGATGCACGACCAACCATACCATCACACACCCGATCACTTCATATCCCTGGGACTCGCGACAATCCGACAGGATCGACTTAAACCCCTCTCAGTCTGGGGACATGACCACGATGGAGCTTATCGACAACTTCCACTACGAGATCCTCGCGAAGCATACGTGATGCTCCTCACACCAGACGGCCCGACACTGTGGAGCCACAACGTCCTGCTCTTTGGTTCGGCAGCCAGTGTCTGGTCGTATAACCGTTTTGGGGACATTCTGGTCGCGTGCAGTCGCACGATGATCCTGTCACCGGCGATGCACTACGTCGACGACTATGGATCCATGGAAGACTCCGATCTTGCCGACGGCAGCTTCGAATCCTTCGAGGAGTACAATGGTTGTCTCCAAATCTCGATGAAACCCAGCAAGAGACCACCACCTCAAACCGCACATCGGATCCAAGGTGTCATCATCTCCTCCGACAACGACAACTTGGTGTTGACTCCGTGTCCCAAACGCGTCGAGAACATGTGTAAGCAGATCGACGTGCACCTGGAGACCTCGTCATTGTCACCCGAACAAGCCAGGAAAATGGCGGGGAAGTGCAACTTCCTCACAGGCCGACTCTTCGGTAAGGTAGGCCGCGCGGCCTTGAAAGCATTATATGCCCGCGCCCATTCGTACTCACACGCTCTCGACAAACCTACCCGATCGTCACTACTTTCACTCAAGGACATCATACAACATTGTCGCCCAATGACGATACCACGACAGATGACTCGAACTACATACAGTGTCATCTACACGGATGCCTACTTCCGCCTGGGCGACCACACCTACAGACCGGGGGACGACGACATCCCGAATTGGGACTCGAAGTCGACATCCGACATCGAGAACGGATGGGCTGCAGTTTGCTTCCACCACGGTGATGTGCAAATGGCAGCTTACTTCCAGGGTCGTCTCCCCTCACTACTCGTACGACAGTTTTCCTCCGACCAGGCTTTCATTTACCTCCTCGAAGCTTGGGTCGCCATTTTGGCTCCACTGGTCTTCGAGCCATGGCTCGACAAGTTCTACGTCCAGTGCTGCGACAACGAGGCTTCTCGACACGCCCTCCTCAAAGGCGTCGGCAAACACCAGCCCCTGAATTGCCTCATCGCGGCACACTGGACCTGGCATAATCGACGAAGTCTTGCACACCGACTCGAACGTGTTCCCACCAAAGCCAACATCTCCGACGGGATCAGCCGCTTCGAGCACGTGCCTGAGTCTGCAACATGGACTAAACTCGACTTACCTTTGCACGCTCTGACCAGTAGGGCTGCGAAGATTATAGGAGACATTCATTTTGCTTCCTCTACGGGTTTTTCTGACCTACCCGAAATTCGCAGATTGCACGATCAGTTGACTGCGATGCTCGTTTGATTTATCTTTCGAGTGGCGTTCGCCTGCGATGGGAGGACGCGACCACCACCGATGGGAACCAGTCGGTCCTCCCAACAGAAAGAACTTTGTCACATCGATCTGTAAGATCGATGACTGCGATCTGTAAGATCGACTGCGATCTGTAAGATCGAAACGCAGACATAACGCCACCGAAGCGGAAGCAGTTGGAAAACAGCTCCGCACTTGCCAGGGATTTATGGCCTTTGTGTGAGATCTTCGTTGTCGTGTAGCACACACTTGTTTGTGCGAAGTGACAACATATTATCTCACTTGATCACCGAATCGGTCAGGGGATAGACTCACCGATTCAATTCGAATGATTGTACACTCCGTGGCCATTTTGGCGAAAAGCTGTTCCAGCTTGAGAACTTTTGTTTCACCCACCCGTCCCGACCCTCTTTAGACTACGATATATTTTCCTCTGCTTCCTGTCTGCGAGTACCGCCTGGGAACCAGTCGGTCCTCCCAACAGAAAGAACTTTGTCACATCGATCTGTAAGATCGATGACTGCGATCTGTAAGATCGACTGCGATCTGTAAGATCGAAACGCAGACATAACGCCACCGAAGCGGAAGCAGTTGGAAAACAGCTCCGCACTTGCCAGGGATTTATGGCCTTTGTGTGAGATCTTCGTTGTCATTATGCATATGTATGTATGCAAGCATGTACGTATGTGTATGCATGTTTGCATGCGTGCCCGTACATACATATGTGTTATTGTTTGCGTGGTTTGTTGATGATTGCGCATCGTTTTTCTCGCAAACTGGTTTGTGCTGTTTAAGGTTTGACTGTTCAATAGAAACTGCCTGTTATTTGATGTATACGTGCTGCAGGACGGCTGTTTTGTAACAGGTTGCGCTACAGCTGCAGGAGACGTGTATGGGGCAATACAGTATCTTGAATGTAGACTCCGGTGCATATCTACACATGTCTAAGTGTGCGGAGGAAGAAGAAATGCGGGCATGTCTAGTGAACACCAAGAGTCCTTTCCATGGTCTTGATGCGAAGCTGTCACCCTACTCGTCTGATTTGTTTTCGTGCAGTTGCGCTGACGATGTTGGCATTGCAGGTCTTGATGTCACTAACGTCGACCAATGAATCGAAACCCTCCAGCTTGGAGCTGGCCTTGTGTGCAGATTGTTAGGTCAAGACTTCTACCGGGCCTTGCATGCCGTCCAGGCACTTCGAACCTCGTTTTGAGTGTGGGCGAAATGACAGACAACTCCTGCAACTGCATCGCCGCTGTCTCCTGCGCACAGGCCACCTACGGTGCATACTGGAGTGATCATCGAGTGCTGGACTGCAAGCGCCGTGGTGAAGGCAGGCAGTCTCGCAATGGTGTTGTTGCTACTGCGACGGTCACAATCGGCAAGCAGCAACAGGGCGCGCATGTGATGCAGCTGTGCTACACATTCATTGAAACACTGCACAAGGTCTTGTGGAGATTCCAGAGGCAGGGCTGCCCCGTGCGAGATACTTTACGATTATTTCAACCGCAGGTCACACGTAGTGACATCAGACATCGATGCATCAAATCATGAAGAGCTGCAATCGTCGTGCTCCGTGTAGCACATACTGATATTTGCGCGGTCTACTGGGTTGTTGAGGCCTTGAGGCTGTGGAGGCTCAGCAGGTTTACGACTGCTTAACCGTCACAGCATTTACAGCTACAACGGTGAGTGTTCTGGACTTTGCTGGCGCGAGCCCACGATGGCCTGCAGGTCATAGATGTCATTCTCATCTTGCACAAAGCGCTCTGTGCTGCCCAGGGTTGTCGGTAAAGCCCAACCGCGAAAGCTGCAAAGTGCGGCTGCTTTCAACACGAGCGACTACCATTCCTAATGCTGAGCGGTGATCGTCGCTGGCTAGTCCAGGAGGAGGACATCGAGATGGGAGCCCGGAACGCGACTAGCTCGAAGAAGCGCCAATCGAAACCTGCCAAGGCCGTGACATGGAAAATCCCAGGCATACTTTGCATAGTGTCGTCCTGGACCTTGAAGGCTGAAAACTCAACGCGGCAGAAAGCCGGCAAGGCGGCCAAGGCCCTTCCGATCGCTTTGCGTGGCTCTTCGAGATTGGGCCGGGCACGCAGTACATCCGAACGCGAGGAGCAGGAGAACAATGAAGAGGATCTGCCGGAAGAGGACTGCAGCATCTCCGTGTGTAGAGCCACTTCTGATAATGAATGTCAGCCTGGGCTTCGGGAAGACTTTTGTCGTATCACGAGAGAGAGAGGCTACTTTCGTCTAGTTCGTTCTGGGTTCGACCTGCCAGGATGTCGGAGATGATGGAGCCTCGTCGGATCCAGTGCTTGGACCGCTCATACGAAGTATCCGAAAATTCGTCCTGGCTCTAAGGACTGCCGGTGGAAAGCCAGTCCAAGGAGACGGAGGGCGATGGCGATGGGTCTGACAATTCGGAAGAAAGCTTGTCTGGAAGCGGAGACGAAGAGGAGGAGGAGGAGGAGGCGGCCAGACGCAGCTGCAACTCGCACCACCGGGAAGGCTGTCGGAGGGTGAGGCATATCATATGCATAGCTTGAAGGACAACGACGCCGCGCCCAGCCGCAAGACAGGGAAGGCGACGAGGCCGAACACTTTTGTAACAACCTCGTTCTGCGAAAGCGCCGTCATCTGCTTGAGAGCCCAGCTGAGCAGGACGGCGAGCAATGCATCCGCGGAAGCTTCACCCTCAAAGAAGGCCGGCACTCTACATTATAGATTGTTGAAGGCTGGCGGGCATACATTGTCACCCAATGACGCCTCTTCAACTTGTCTGCACATTGCCAGTCAAAGTCATCCAAGACTCCACGTTCAAGCGCTGACAGCTCCTGGGCCTCTGAGGCGGCTTCTTCAGTCTTCGCAACTGCGCTAGACAGGGCCCTGGCATGTACCCTATACTCCTATACGTTTGAGATGCAAGGCAGATGGGGGCAAGCGCGCAGAGGCTGACGGAAGCGATGAGGAGCTGTGGACGGCAAGTCTAAGTGCCCTTAAGTTGTGGCACGTGGTATCTGCCTTCAAGTTCCGTTCCGTTTCCTTTTGCCCAACCGCACCAACGTCAATCTGCAAGCGGCATCTGCACAAACACTCGCTTTGTCTATCTCTTTCAGCATGCTGCAGCTCGCTGTCCACTAAGCCATGTTTGCAGAAGTTCTAGTTCTAGTTGGTTGATCAGTGCATCCATGGTAGGTCACAATGTCAATGTGCGAAGCACTTGAGAACCTCATAAATAACTGCTGCGACATTTATCAGAATGATGGCGCCGCTGCAGGAAACCCAAGATGAGGACGCAGGTGTTGACACAGGCTTGCCTGCATCTGTGAGTACGCAATATCCTCCTTTATCAGGAAGGCATGCTTCCGTTGGTTTGAAAGTCTGCACGCTGTGTCGAAGTTGCTTGAGACAGATGGCCATGCTCTGGGTCAGTGGAAAAGCCTGCTGGAGGACGGCCTTCCCAGAAGTCTGGTTCAGACGAAGAAAGTGCGGCTGGAAGCGGAGACGAAGAGGAGGAGGAGGAGGAGGCGGCCAGACGCAGCAGCAACTCGCACCACCGGGAAGGCTGTCGGAGGGTGAGGCATATCATATGCATAGCTTGAAGGACAACGACGCCGCGCCCAGCCGCAAGACAGGGAAGGCGACGAGGCCGAACACTTTTGTAACAACCTCGTTCTGCGAAAGCGCCGTCATCTGCTTGAGAGCCCAGCTGAGCAGGACGGCGAGCAATGCATCCGCGGAAGCTTCACCCTCAAAGAAGGCCGGCACTCTACATTATAGATTGTTGAAGGCTGGCGGGCATACATTGTCACCCAATGACGCCTCTTCAACTTGTCTGCACATTGCCAGTCAAAGTCATCCAAGACTCCACGTTCAAGCGCTGACAGCTCCTGGGCCTCTGAGGCGGCTTCTTCAGTCTTCGCAACTGCGCTAGACAGGGCACTGGCATGTACCCTATACTCTTATACGTTTGAGATGCAAGGCAGATGGGGGCAAGCGCGCAGAGGCTGACGGAAGCGATGAGGAGCTGTGGACGGCAAGTCTAAGTGCCCTTAAGTTGTGGCACGTGGCAGTCCCCCCTTTTTTGGGGTTTGTGAATTTGCATGGTTTGTTGTCCTGGAGGATGCTGATGTCCGAGATGTGGACACCGGAGGAAACGCTTCTCGCTCCAAAGCCGAGGAAGGGTTCCAGTTCGGCAGCTGCACAACGAACAGCTGAGCAGAAAGTAGCAGAAGTGGCTTCTCGCAAGCACAGCCCGGCACAGCCCTGCAGCGCCTTGCGCGTACAGGAGACACCTGCCCGGTCAATGCCAAGCGAAGGGATTTTCAAGGTGAAGGCCGGGACGCACCAACAAGCAGAGATCCTAAAGTCACTAAGCCTCGTCTACAACCTGCGACCCCTTGCCCCTGCCCTGGGCTGAGAAGTGGCCTGTTGGTTTGGCTTCGGCTGGAATGGAGGCTCTTTGAAGGCTCCCAGAAGAAAACCCTGACAGGCTGCTGGCCAAACTGCCGAGCCCACGCTGGACGACGGAATCTTGCCAAGTGCTTCGGCAAGTTTCGGCAGAAATACGTCGGCTCAGGGCGTCGGGGCTGCGAGACAACCGCCAGTAGCTTGCAGATACATGTGCTCTACCGCGGGTATCCCCAGGATTGAGGCAGATACTACGGTGTTTCTCAAGATGGAGACCCAAACCCGAAGAGGGGCCGCAGACTGCTGCGTGAGGCAACTCGCGACTCTCCATTGAAGAGCTGGCGCCTACTGTTCCTGGCCTGATCTTTGATAAGCTATCACCAACAATTCAGCCTGCTTCTGTCTGTGTGCCCCATGCCCATACGTGCAGTTGCATGTTTATGGTTGCTTCGGCTGCTCGAGGCTGCGTCTGCCGTGGAGAACACCACGTCGCGCAAAACTCCGCAAGGCCGCAAAAAGGCAACAGACGTTGCGACGAGTCAGGGCACCACGGATGCACTCATTCAATACGCTCTGGATATCTGAATCTTATAAACTGGGACGTTTTGGTTTGCAAAGCCTGTTCAACTGCTTGTGCTTCGATCGGCTTGTTTGTAAAGCTATACTCGCGGTGCAACTGGCAAGGAGTTGCTAGTTTGCTAGTTCTATTGATGCTATTATGCACCATGGCCACTCTTCCCTCAGGTTCCGAGAATGAAGCGTACCAGGGCAGCTCCGTGGAGAACGAGGACCTTTCCCTCGGCGACGAGGCCAGTGGCGAGTTCTCTCTTGAGCCTCGACGAGCCTCGGCAACGCCTTGCAGGAGGACCTGGACCTCGATTGGCCGGAGGCCGAGACCAAGGCCTCGGACGTCAAGAGCCGACAGGACCGCTGTCACATCGCCATTTCAGCCAACCCATGTGCCCTGCCCTGCCCATGCCGAGACAAAGACATGCATAGTTTTTGTGCTGGTGCAATTTGCTCACAGCCATTCTTCGTAGCATCCAGACTTGAATTGTGAGCAGTTTCTCCTGAAGTTGGCAATGCGGGCGTTTCGATTGCACATTCATCTTCAGGAGGCCAAGCACTTGGCCAGCAGCGCTAAAATGACGAAGCCAGGTACTACGCCTGGACTTGCGGCGGTCGCTGTAAACTCTGCGCGTGGTTCGCATGCGGATCCGTTTCGAAGGTTCTCGTCGGGGGCAAGATGCGACCATCGAGATCCGGGAGGTGGGCCTGGAGTGTCAACGGCAACGAGCTTTCGCTCGGCAGCCGAGGTGAGCCAAAGTGCGGCCCCGGAACCTGTTGGGACAGCGGACTTTTCCGTGCAGGCTTTCGAGGCTCGGAACCGACTTGAAGAAAGACTTGCGTGACATGATGCCGGTTGTGTGCAATTGTAGTATGTGTTAATAGGGCCAGGGTTTCTGTCGGACACCGTGCCTACATCGACGCTGCAGGAGACTGAGCACAGGCTCAGGGAGGACATCGAGTCCCTCAGGAAGCTTGAGGAGGACGCCTTCGCTTGTTAGATGTGTTGTCCCTAACATAATAGAAGTACCATGATGGCTGTTTGCTTGCAAATGGTTTGTGGTCGGATTACGAATCAGGTCTAAGTGGGATATGAGGAAATCATCATCGGAGCTGGGTTTTGTGGAGATAATGAAGCTCTATAAAATACTTAATGGTGTGTTGAACTTATGTTAAACCTACCTTGGACTTTGGTTGGACTCGTGCTAGACTTGACAGCTTATGAACTTTATACACGTGCGCGCAAGTTGCCAGTTGCTCAGTGTTCGCAGTTGTTGATCTCAGAAATCTCAGAACAGCCGTTCGTATAGTTTTCTTACACTTTACTTGGCCAACCTGGGTCGAGCAGCTCATAAACCGCCTATCGCAGCTTTGCCGTCTTAGCCGGCGCTGTCCGCGCGATGTCCGCGGAGTCATAAGGGCTTTATGGCTGGCAAGATGTGTGTCGGCGCGCAGGGTTGGACAAGAAGTGAACGCCTGGTCAAGGCCCACGAAAACGGTCCGATTCTTCTAGTGTTGCAGGATGTTCGGTTGTGCAGAGCACAACAAACTGTGAAATGAAAACCCCTGCGTCACTCAGGTCAAACTGTCCTAATGAATGAAGATAACATAAGGAAACCGCTGCCGTGGTGATTTACACATGGATGCACGCAGTAGCCCGGCAGCACCGGACTCGATCCGGTCGGTCGTGCAAGCGGAAAACACCCTGTTCCATCCAGTTGCGACAGTCGCCGAGTCCAACAGCTGCACTCCAGAGAGGCCTTCCCACAAGTCAAGTACTGGCAATGCACTTCGATTACGTACTGCTACTTTGGCGGTGGGAGTTTGTTCAGCTCTTTCGGCGGTGCATACCGGATAGGCACAGAGATTCCATAGGGACGGGGTCCCGTCTCAGGAGCTTCAGCTTCGGGGCCCGCCGCTTGTCAGCAGTTCCGGTCCGATGTAGCAGTGTGACCTTGTCACATCTACACACGACGTGCAAAGCCACTGCTGCTTTCAGTGATGCCACCCGCACAGGAAGGGAACTTCCCAACCAAAGCAAAGGAAAGCTCAGAAGGCTGGTGTCGAAGCGTCGTGTCACGAGTATATGTCCGCCAATGCAACTTCCACCAAGTCAACAACACACACACACACACACACTTGCTGTAGACCTGGTGGTCTAGTGTGAGTCGGGATTGTGGCTCTTTTTTCCCGTCATTTTTCTCGTTCTTTGATGACCTATGTCCAGATTTGCTGATCTGCTGCTTTTTGACTGTCTAGATTTACTCAAACATGTGACTGCATCGCTGACATGTCAAGACTGTCAAGAAGCAAGCGATGCATAACGAATCAATATGACAACATGGTCGAAACTGCAAGCTGCGACAGCAGTCACCCATGCCAGTTTGTTGCAGGTACAGGAAACTGCGTCCAGTCTCCCTTCCAGTCATGTTCCATAGCTTCGTTGGCATGGCTAGGAACAAGACCGCCATGCCCCCTGCGAAGTTACTTAGCCAGTTGGCACAGGGATGACACACACAAACACATGTGGCGCGCACGTGCTGCAGCGACCAAGCCTTCTTTGGCATTTCATGCTCATGAAGTTTTGTTCGCCAGTGTGTGAACGCAAGGGAAGGCGTATGCGTTCGACTGTGCTTCTGCAGCAAGCAGCGTGCGTTGCTGTGCAGGCAGAAGGCAGTTCTGCATCTCACAAGCGAAGGACGGCAGTTCAGTCGCCGTTGCTCTCTTGGGTTTAGGGCCTGTGGGTCCTGACAGAGGAAGGGCCCTGCTGCTGCAGCTGCCGGCCAGCAGGTAGGAAAGCGGGAAGCAGACCTGCAAAGACTGTTTGAACCAATACCAATGCCAGGCCGTGTCTCTGCTGGAGCTTGCTTCAGCCCCGGCGAGTGAGGAGGTTCGAAGTTGGAGGAATTTTGCCGGCTTTGCACAGACTAGTTCTCCAACGTTGCCAGGAGCTTCAAACATTGCAGATTGAGCAGCTTGCTGCCGCGCAGCGTGAAGTGGCCATGAAGGCTGCTGAGGCAGGAGACAGTGCTGCGGTGCATCACTGCAGAAGGGAACTAGCGATGCCGAATAGGACCACCGAGCTTTTTGCATTTTCACCCCAAGGTTTCGCGATATGACAATGCCCCGAATCTTGATCATGTAGAGATCAATCCTTTGGATGAGTGCACATAGTTCCTGTCTTGGAGCTTTGGTGACCAAGCCGACAGTGAAGCACTGAGCCGCACCTTTTGCGCGCAGGAAGTTGCTGATAGCTCTGCTTCTCCGATGACAGCAGAGCAACTGGACCGAACAAGGACACCAATGTTTATGGGCAGAATGCCCTTATGAACCCTCATAGGCAGCTGCCATGCTGGGCTGTCTCTCAGCGGCATAGTGCCATGTCAGGAGGGCGGCACTTCAGTCTGTTGAGCATGCTGTGGCTGCGCAGGCCATGTACGTAGCACCAGTGGCCTCGTGTGCCCTCCTTGCTTGCATGACGGCAGGTGGATGCGCAGGAAAGGCAGCAGACTGTGAAGGCAGGGTATTGAGTGGCTGGATTTTCCCTTGATGCCAATGCCTCACGTCGTCTTGCAGGCAGGGGGAGCCATGTCCGAGCTGTTTGCAGGCGTACAGTCGGACAGCAAGGCGGTAATGTGCAAACAGAGTCATCCGATCATCCAAAACAGCCTACCAAGATGCGATGCACGAGGCAATAGCTTCGAAGATGGCAAAGCAGCTTCAAGCAGGGCTCTCGAAAACGCTAGTAGCCGTTGGCTTCTGCTGGGTGGGCCCGGGTTCTTGCGAGTCCAAGGCGGACCTCACAGCGACCAAAGAGCAAGCTGAAAAAGATCACCAGGCACGGAGTTCTGAGCCTCAGCAGCTGCAGAGTGCAGCCTCCACGTTAACTTAAGCGAAGATCCTGCGAACATGAACAGGGACTTTGAGCTCGAAACGGGTCCGACATGTAAAACAAACGGGTTCCTAGGTGGAATCGCTTGCGAGTATCGATGCCAAAACGAGAGATGCAGCTGCTGCTTTTCAAGACTTGAAGTCAGCTAGGGAGGTCGGAAGGAACGAGAGTATTTGGTTCAGCATTGCCGCATCTGCATCCCACAGCTTGGTAACTTAGACCTGTTTGTGACCGAACTGGTTCGACAAGTTGAGTGCCATGTTGCTCGGCAACATGTTGCATCTTGCATTGAAACCAATGCTTGAGTGAACCCGAGTAGAATGTGCAGTTTGCCATCGAGCTGATCTTAGCAAAAGCCTTACTAGGTGGAGGAGCAAAAGGTGAGCGTGCTTCTGGAGCGACTGGACCATCTGCAACTTGTTCGATGTCAGATCATGAGGAGGGGCGAGGCCATACGCCGCGGATACTGAAGCGCGAGGAATGTTGATACCGTACGTAGGAATATGCAGCGCTGATAGCACGATTAGGGGCGATAGTGGCTATCCTGTTGGGACTTGAGGCACGGGCCGCCCCCGCCTGCTTGAATTGCCTCGCGGATCCGCCTTTCCAAATTCCTGTTGCAAAGATTCATTGCTAGGGTTCAGCAAGATTCCGGGCGGCAAGTCGTGAAAGAAACGAGCTGCAATGGGCGACCAGCTGCATTGGGGTTTCGACAGATATTCTGTTTAGATAAATGTAAATGTGGCAGAACGTATAACAGCATGTCCAAAACAGCGTGCAGCTCAAGACATGCAGATAACCCCTTCTCCCTAACAGTAAACCCCCCTAATATAAAAACTCCCCACCCCCGGAATTTCGCGGTTTCGGGCCTACAATTGAAAGTCAACTTAAAACATTGGGGGTGGCCTAGGATTGAATTAAAAATTTATTCGCGAAGACTACAGCAGTACCAGTCAAACCGAAAGGACCAGAGCTTTAGGGTTCAGGGGGCGAGGGCTTAGGCCTGACGATCTAGGGCTTATGGCTCTTGGGCTCAAGGCTTAGGGCTACGCAGCCGGAACGGCTGACTGTCTGGCTCATTATTACTGACAAAGCGACTCATCCCCCGGAGGCCCCGAAACCCCCCCTAACATAAAAACTAAACCCGCCGAAATCAGTTTTTATATGGGGAGGGACGGTTTAACATTAGGGGGAGGGTGCTGGTTGATAATTTTAACGCTACGCCGCCCGCCTCGGCTGTGTAGCGGCAGGGCGAGGGGGCAGTCGATGTTTTTTTATGCTAGGGCGGCCTGTCAAACCCCACCTTTACACGGTTGTTGATAGAAGTGCGAGGAGAACGGGTACAAGGGGGGTGGAGGGCGGGGGGGAGGGGGGCGAAGGGGGGGGAAGGGGGGGGAGGGGGGGGAGGGAGCAAATCAGGTAAAATGAGCGGGGGGAGGCCTCGGAGGGGGGGGTGGAGGCCGACAAATCAGGTAAAATGAGGGGAAGCCGGGCAAGGGGGTGGCAAACGAACGCAAAAAACGGGTGTCCCCAAACATTTGGACTGTCGGGAGGAGACCCAAGACGCCTGGGCCTCTGGCCTCGGCGGATTACAGCTACACAAAGAAAAAGCTACTGGCTTGGCGGCTTCTAATACAAGTAAACCTTCATTTGCGAAGCGCGGTCTGAGGCGAAGCCAATCGCCGAAGGAGTCCTCAGAGGACATGTTGCTTTCGATCTCTCGGGCGAAGCAAATCCTGGAGCTGAAGGCCTGGGCCAGGGGCCAGGGGGCCGGGGGGGGCCGGGCGATGTGTGCAGCAACCGACTGCCGCTACAACGCTAAGACTGCTGCGCTTGTTTGCACTTTGTATCAGTCACAACAACTGACTCGTAGTAGAAGACAGCAACACTGAACTTCACGAGTGCAGGATTGACAATCACATCTGCCTCCATAGCTGGCTGGTGTTCTCTGCAGGCACAGGTACAGTGGGACAGCCAGCGCCTTTCGAAGGAGAAGGAGGAGCTTTCGAGTCAGAGAAAGGTCATGCCCCAGCACTGAAGCCCCCAAGCCCGAATCATATTTTAATCCGACGCATGCTTCGAAGAGGACGAGCTGGCCCTTAAAGTCAAAGTCAAGCAGTTGGAGGACTGCCGCGAGTCCGATCCATGTGGGCACTGAGACTTCGAGTCAGTAATGTGGCCGAGCGTGTCATGTATGTCATTATGTATAGAGTGTCATAGCTTTGTCCAGTCATCAAAAGAGCTGTCGGCTAGCGGTTTTGCTGGTGGTGGTGCTGGTGCTGGTGGTGGCGGCGGCCATGGTTGTATTAGTTCGAAGCTGCAAGCGGCTACTCAAGGAAAAGCTTCGACGGCAACGACATGCCTCTCTCCGCGAGGATGGGGACCTTGCAAGACGGTCCGGTCGCCACTCACAGCGTGATTCATGGCAGGCAAGGCGAAGCAAGCCTTCTCACCATAGAGCCTCCGCACAAAAATTCGCAACTCGACACATCATGGGTCTTTTGTCTTGCCATTGCATGCCACATTCGGTTTCGTTTAGCGCATGCGAACCCAGGCCGTGGATGTAGACCACAGCGGTCGCACTCTCGCCGTCGAGCATGCTGATCCATATTGAACATCGCGCCGATGTGAGCGATCTAGTCTGCTTGGGCTTCTTTGGAGAGACTTGCAGCGTGGAGGAATGCCGGCCTGAGTTTCGCTCAAAGCTGCGCAGCACGACACTAGACTTGTTGAATTCGTTTCCACGTTTTGTCTGCATCGGACAGCAGAGCGAAGCTTGGCCTGGACGGGCGTCTCACAGAAAGGGCGTTGCACGGGCCAAGAAGACAAAGCAAGGCCGCGAAGCCGCTGTCTTTCGTAGTCCTGACAACAGCGAGTATGGAAGGTGCGGTTGATCATCGGCGAGAGATCAGTGACCACATTGGCAGCCAACGCAGTTTTCTGAGATTCAGCGCAGCAGCTGCATCTAGATCGTCTAGCCAGAGACGGGACTTTCATGGTGGGGCTTGTCAGTCCAATGTAGTCAACAGCATCTCCTAACTAAACCTCTCCGTCTCAATCTCGGCCTCGGGCCGTACGTAGCGGCATTGGGCAAAGCTGGTGCGGTTCTCAGCGAGGGCTTTCCGGAATCCACCCAGAATGCGCTTTCATGAGTCCGGCTGTGAGTGCGGAGGCTGCATGGACTTCTGTGCTGTCACGGACACGGAGCCAGATGTCTCGTCACGAGCCAAGACCCCATTGACATTGGGGATGTCGTCATCGACAAGCGTCCTCGAATTTTACGAACCAAATCCGGCTAAGGCTGGATTCGCTGCGAAGACACTTGAGGCGAGGCTTGGCCCCGTCGGACCCGCTGGATTTTCAGGACAGGGCACAGACTATAGGGTGAAGGACAACAAGAATAACAAGCTAGAACTTGTGAGACCTGCATCGACTCGAAGGGTCGGGTTCGACTATCCAAGATAAGAAACTCTTTGCCTCCAGTTGTATGTTGAGCGTGTTTGCCGCAACTGTTTCTGCTTACTGCAGCATGCCCGGAATTCGCTAGAACCAGGAGAATGCGCAAGTGCACAGACGTATAAACACATCGAATCTACAGGCATGGATATGGAATCAGGCAGAGAGAGTACTCGAAAGCCGCGACTCCGGTACGGACACTCAGGTTTGGGGCCCGACATCATCATGATAGCACAGAGCTGCGCCTACCCAAAAAGGGACCATAATTTTGACAACCACCCAGATAAGTGTTATTGTTCATGCCGGGGTGTGCAATCTTAAGATCATTGTACTACTCTTCGAGTGTATCTGTTCGAGTGTATCTGTTAAATTAGCAATCCGTGGCGATTCGTGACCCACTATTGTGATTCTCGGTATTGGTTCCTTACAAACCTATGTAATCTCCACTTCCAGTCTCAGTCATATCTAAACTACACGTTCTTCCATGCCTAATCATAGTGTCAAGTGTAGCTTTGCTGTTGAATTTACTACTGTTTCCAATTCACCTGTTGCTGTGGTTGTAGTTGCCGTTCTGGCTACCTCAGTCATACTACCCCAGTCAACACTCGAATGATGGGTGAGCCAGATATAGGATCACATCTCCTTTAGAGTTTGTCGTTGTTGGAAAGCATACATAATTTTAACCCCACGCCGCCCGCCTCGGCTCCTCAGGTGCAGGGGCCGGATGAAACGGCAAAGCCTTCTGTATCACTCAGGAAGTCTGTTCAGGTCACGGCTATATTGAGATTTCTTTGAACAGGACTCCCACGATTCAACAGGTGCGGGCGCGCCGTAGAGCTGCTTTGTCAGCGAGACATGTCGGAGCGAACAGCTGTATCGCAGCATGGGCGCGGCAGGGGACTGGGCAGGAGCAGGAAGAAGTGGGGAGGGGGAGAAGAGGGGGGGGCCGGGGGAGGGGGGGGCATGGGGGGGGAGGGAGGTGTGGCTTCGGCTGTGTTTGTTTGCAGTGTAGCACACACTTGTTTGTGCGAAGTGACAACATATTATCTCACTTGATCACCGAATCGGTCAGGGGATAGACTCACCGATTCAATTCGAACGAGTGTACACTCCGTGGCCATTTTGGCTCAAGCTGTTCAGCTTGAGAAATTTTGTTTCAGTCCCCTCGGATCACTCCTCGGTCATAGCCGCTCCGGGCGGCCAGTACCCCGAGTCCTACTACGACCGCTGCTGGCGGCCAGTACCTCGAGCACTACGGCTTCTCTGTCAGTTGTTGACAGTTTGAAGGAATCGCTCGAGGAATTCAGCCGCGAACAAGTTCTCGAAGATTTTCAAATCGAGAAACCCGAGGATGTGACGTGGGGAGCCTGGAACAAGCGACAGTCTCGACAAATACGAAAGGCCATCGACCAGATCGCCAATTGTCAGACGGCGAACGACATTGTCAACCTGGCGGCCACCTTGCTGAAGCCGCCCAATCTCGAGGCCTTCCTCTACCTCCACATTACCAACCGCGACGAGTCCGCGGAGCCGTTGACGGTGCCCTTCGAGATCGTCGAGGCTTCCCTACACCCCGACTCCGATCATGCACCTCTACCGGCTGACACCGATGCTGCTCTTCTTGTGCATGAGACCGATCTGCATAATCAGCATTTGGCAGACATTTTTCGTGACGATTTCGGCATTGAACTTCATAATCCCGAACCCGCTGCCTCTACAGCTCGAAAGAGAAACTTCGAGAGGCGCCTTAAGCCCCCTAACACGACATCTATCGACTTGGATTAGCAACTTCGAAGCCATGGCAGTTCCTCGATCTGATTCTTGGTTCGATTTTCTGTGTGAGGGCTCGACGCAGCAGATCACTGCACCTGTGCCGAGTTCCATGCTCGCCGAGTTCCCCGAAAAGGTGCACGATCAAGCCCGAGTCCCTTTGTCTTCGATCAGACGACAGATTTGCCCCCGAATCCTCGATACCAAGAACTGTAACATGCACAACTGTGTCTACTTGCACCCCGACTTCCTGAACAAGAAATGGGTGGTGCCTAATCTGATTTGCCACAAATGGTTTCAGGGATGCTGCGAGTACCACAACACTTGTTGGAACCAACACGGACATACCTTCGATGATGCCATGCGTCGAGCCGTCGTACTGCAGAGACAACTACGACGCGGTGAGCCTCCGTACCACTACTCATCTGTCGGTTGCTTCCTCGAACAGGTGACCCGAGAACAGGCGCGAGAGTGGATCACGGACACCATGGCCACCTTTCGACACACCGAGATGCGCAAATTCAACTTCGGCACCAACTTCTCCAAGTACTACGACTTCGAGTCATGGGATAGATCCGACGCTGCAGCCAAACTTCGACAAGAACTAGCAGAGGGCAATCATCGAGGACGATCCCCTCGCCGAGCACGCGATGACTCTCGACCCCCAGCGACATGGGGACAGCCTCCGACCCCACCGCGAGGGAACATTTTCCCCTCCTCGGGATCACGATTCCCTCCGGCCGCTACACCTTCGACTGCCCCCACGAACCCGACACCATCGGCAGCACCCTCGACAACACCTCCGAGTACCACTCCGAGACGGCCATTCTTCCAGCTGGGCACGGACACAGACTCCGATGCCCCCAGCTTCGGTCGATCTACCCGAGCTGCCTTCCGCCCCGGCGATGGAGCAGCTCGAGGTTCAAATCGACCATTGTCGCCGGCGAGATTCCCTCGCCGATCTCAATCGCCAGCTAAACGATGGCTCGACAACACGCCGATAATCGTCGAGGTCTCGGATGAGATTGCAGCCTCTACACCGGCTCCGACTCCGACGACAGCACCTACTACGACCACACAACAGACTCGACCGGCATCTCCGGACCCTTGGCATCCGGACGACGATCTCACGGAGCCACCTACTCCCCCGATGGCAGCTCCGGCTACACCTCCGACCACGACTCAGCCGAGTACTCAGGTGACACAGCCGACAGACCAAGCCACAACTACGACGACCAACAACCAGAGCGACTCCGAGTGGATCAACCCAGCCTTCGGCACATCGACCACTACGACCATCGTGGGGGCAAAGACGAAGGCCATGCCCAAAGTTGTTCCTCCGAGGTTTACAGTCCACCCAGCTGTGGACTTGTCACGACCAGACCCTAGACAGGTCCTGAATCCGAATGCGACACAATCGGGAGCGGCATCATCCTCGACGGTCGCGACATCAATGCGGAGCCCATACGCGAGTGTGCCGATTTCGGTCCAGCCACAGGCACCACGACAGTCATGCCTCGAGAGGTTCCGAGTCCAGTGGCTCGACACACAAGTTGTCGACAAGGGCCGGACGTCGATCGACGATGTTCGCTCTAATCCACCGGTCACACACGAGCCAGTGTTCGGATTCCAGACTTTGAGACACTTCGACAACTTTCCGATGATGTCCCCGAACCTACAGGCGATGACACCGGTGGGCGGCCACAATGTCGCGATGCTTCCTCCGGGCAATCACCCATACTCTTCCTTTTCCTTCGATTCCCCATGGGAGATCACATATGACGGAGTCATTTACCTCGAACAGGTTCTCCGATGCCCGACCTTTGGGAGCTACCTGACCCAGTTCGGGCTGTACATCGACCTCCCGATCCACACCCCGCAGGACGACACGCTCCAAGAGAGGGTCCTGCTTTTGGGCGTCCCGAATAATTTCGTCGAGCCCCGAACTACACTGGTCTACTCGATGGTATGGCACAGCATGACAGCGTCACTCTCCGATTTGGATCATACATCGGTGGAGGCTCGCATGGACAGACTTCGAATGTGGTGCCATACAGCATACAATCTCAATGTGTTCGCGACACAGATGCCTTACTTCGAGCCGATGACGACTTTCTTCCGAGAACAGGCATCCGCGATCATCTCGTGTGCCTCGAATATGCTGGCACCTGCGATGCGGAGTGCTTTCGCTCAACACGACAGGATGCGGCCCATCATCGCCGCAGAGCCACCGGCCTTCATCCTTCGATTTCGAGAAGAATCTCGATCTTTCAACTAGACGGCCCCGGAGTAAACCGGCCTCGCGTGGTTTCCCCGTTTCCGCCTCGGCGATGTACGGGAGTCTCCAGTGTCACTTCGATTTCGGGGCTAGGGAGGACTTCCGCCTCG